GTGAAAGTAAATATAACTATGATAATAAATATAATAAATAAAATAATGATAAACGTTATAATAATGAAAATGAATATTACAATGATAACCGTGATAGTAGTAAAATCAGTGAAAATGGTGATCACGATTTTCCTGATGATCATTGGTAACGTTAATTAACGCAGTCATTTAGTTGTGCAAACAGATTATCACTAATAACTTCCTCCTCTAACATCTGAGCTCCTATGATGGTACTGGCTTTCTGTACGAGCTGTTGATATTGTTCACGATTTATACGAGAGAGCATTCCTATAGTTGTATATTTAGTTTAAGCAATTTGGTCTGTTCCAATTAATTCATATAGGTAATATACTCGTACAATTACTTTCTGGTAGTATGGTGAGAGAAGGTTCATACATTGAGTTCTTTCAGTTAGTGATTCAGTTTTAGTCTCAATAGCCTTTCCTATATGCTAGAGGACTATTAATATTTCGACTCTATTTCTTAAGCTTTTTGCTCTTTTAAGTTGTCGAAGTAGAGATTTTACTTGTTGTAATGCAGTATCATTGTGTTGATAAAAAGGAGATAGTATATCTGGATAAAGTGGTTCAGTTTGTTGCAAGTCTGCTAAGATTTGATTATATAATTCCATTTTAAATTTGAGGAAAAGGGGTAAAGTTCAGTCAATATTCACTCTATTTATATAGATTTTTAATAAACTTCCATTCACAGGAGTTTTTAGGACTTTCCCGTTTAATTTCCTAATCTTATAAGTGCTATTTCTAATTATGTCATGTATATAGTATGGTCCTTTCCACTTTGGGTCTAATTTTCCAGACAATTGCTTATCTAACATCGCTTTGTAGTACAAAACTAGATCGCCTATTTGGTATAATACAATTTTCTTTAATTTTTCATCATGTTGATCTTTCTGTTTTTGTTGTTCTTTTTGCAAATTTTGTTGAACCGTATTACGAATAATTGGCAGCTGATCTAATTATTTTTCCACATGGTTGAGCAAAAGGGGTTCCTCCTCCATTTCTGTACTATCCATTGGCAATCTAGCTTCTTGTCCATATACAAGGAAAAAGAGCAATATTTTTGTAATAGAATGTTCATTTGTGCGATAAGCAAAAAGTGCAGGGGCAATAAAACAATCCCAATCCTTTTGATAATTAGTAGCAGTTCATGCAAGGGCTTCTAATAAAGTTCTAATGAACCTTTCAATTAGTCCATTAGTCTGTGAATGATATGGCGTTGACATTCTATGAGGTATTTCAAATTTTTGTAATAATTCATATAATAATTGATTATTGAAATGTGTACCATAATCAGTGAGTATTCTCCAGGACATCCATGTCGGCAAATTATATCTTCATACACAAATTGTACAGTTGTTTTAGCATCATTATGCCTTACAGGCTTAGCTTCTGGCCACTTGGTTAAATAGTCTATAGCAACGATTATATACTTATTTCCTTTACTTGAAGCTAATAAAGATCTGATATAATCTATTCCAATATGATGAAAAGGTTGTCCAATAGGTATAGGATGTAAAGGTTCTATTCTTGAGGCTCTTCCTCTTTTCTAACAAGAGTCACATGATTGTGCATAATTCTTGATATCCTCAAACATTTGAGACCAATAAAAATGTTTTCTAATTTTCTCCATCATTTTTTCTTTTGAACTATACGTGACAGTTGGATCATTATGAAATATATAAAGTGCAGGTTTTAGTTCCGTTTTCTTGAGTACTCTAATTGGATTACTTGGGTTATTTTTGTTAATTTTATATAATAAATTATGTTTGATAATATAATGTTTTAATAATATGTTTAATTTGTGTTGTTGTGTTTGGTTAAAAGTAGTGAGGTATGTTTGGTTGGTTAAATAATTAAATAGTTGATTATATTGTTGTTCTTTCATGTTTAAGAATTTAAGCTATTTATCACGCTATAAACACTTTCGCTTTCACTTAATTCTTTATGTTATATATTAATGATTGATTTAATAAGAGGGAGAAAGGGATGCATTATCAATGTCACCAAGGTGAAAATGTAATTGTGCACAAAGGTTTTTCTGTTGTACTAAAAGAGGTTCTTCCCACCAGAGATCACTGATTAAATATTCTAGTTTCATGTCTGGTTGTATTTTTCCTAGACCATATCTAATAACACAGTCATGAATGATAGTTCTATACAATAAATTTTTCTTACATGCTTTACAATACTTGTGAACATGAAAGTTTTCAGTATCACATGAAAAAGTGCATTGTGATCTTTCTCTGATGATGGGTTGTCCAGTGATTACTTGTTTAATCTTTATGTTTTCATAATAGATTTCTTTTAATTCATCATCAGGAGATTTATACCCAATAGCAGTTATTAAAACAGTGTTAGAATATTGTTAAGATAATTCCTCTTCAAACCATTCATCACTTTCTCCAGATTCAGAAGAGAAAATATGCCATTCTATATCTTCTTTAATGCTGATATTTTCATTCTCATCATCAGCTATATCCGTTTCGGTAAGATTAATAATAAAACATTCAGCAGTTTCTTTGTCATACATGTGAGACAATGCATTTGCATTTGCATTATATTTTCCTGCTCTATATTCTATGGTAAAATGGTGTTATTGTAATTCCATGATCCATCTAGCACATCTCCCTTTTGGCATTTTTGAAGTTTTTAGCTATTTTAAAATAGCATAATCAGTTACGATGGTGAATGGTCAACTAAGATAATGATGAAAATGCTTTATTGACCAAACAATTACTAAACACTCTAAGTCAGTGATGGGATAGTTTTCCTTAGTTTTGTTAGTCGATCTGCTAGCATATGCAATAACATATTCTTTTCCATCTTTCTTTTGAGATAGCACAGCATCTAATTCTTTCTTTGAAGTGTCAGTATATAAAGTAAAGGGTATTTCAAAGTCAGAGTACTATAAAATTGGTGTTTTAATGAGCCTTTCTTTTAGTCGGTCAAAGGCATATTGTTGTCTTTCTCTCCATTCAAAGGGCTGATTCTTCTTTAACAATAGGGTCAAAGGTTTAGCATGTCGTGCAAAATCTTTAATAAATTTCCTATAGTGGGGGGGACTAGGGAAGTTCCCACTAAAGAGTGGTAGCCACCCCAGTGCTTTTTTGCTATATTACTATGTATTCTTTTTCCATTTCTCGCATCTCTAGTTCATTATAATTACTAATTATATTTCTTACCTGTCTGGAGATTCCACAATCTCAGAAATACTATTTTGTAATTTTACTTAGCTAGACTCTTTGGAATTGTATAAATACTAATTTGATATTTTATTTAGCACGGGTTTTTTGAAAGCAAATAAGCTTACTGTATACGGAACGAAGTGGAGCGGTAAGCAAATTGTGAATACAAGATATGGAAACAATACAGTTCCCACTAGAGGTGCAGAGCATATACACAAGATATGTTCACAGATATGTTCACAGGTTGCGGAGCATCAAAGATGCGGAGTATATGTACACAAGATATGTTCACAGGTTGCGAAGCATTGAAGATGCAGAGCATATATACACAAGATATGTTCACAGGTTGCAGAGCATCAAAAATGCGAAGCATATGTACACAAGATATGTTCATAGGTTGCGGAGCATTGAAGATGTGGAGCATATGTACACAAGATATGTTCACGGGTTGCAGAGCATCGAAGATGTGAAGTATATGTATACAAGAAATGTTCACAGGTTGCGAAGCATCGAAGATGCAGAGCATATGTACACAAGATATATTTACGGGTTGCGGAGCATTGAAGATGCGGAGCATATGTATACAAGATATGTTCACAGAGATTGCGAAGCACTAAGGGTGCAGAGCATGTACGCAAAACATGAAAAAAAATCAAGTAATATAAATGCATACATATTGAGTTCCAGATTCTGAGATATTTGCGTCCAAAGTAGCCAGAGCGGTCAAGCAGTTTTTTTATCACAGATTAGCTAAATAGACCCAGACGCATATCTGGTGTTCACTATATGAACCTTTCTTCATCATCATGGATTATCGGGTGGGATAGGTGGCTGGTAAACTGAGATTCCCATAGAATTTGATCTGAAGTATATGTCTCCAGATTGGGAATCCTTCTCTGTTCTCGAGGTCTATCAGATCGATTTGAATTCAGAATACTAGTGGCTGAAGATGAAAGTTTATTTTTATAATAATTAGCTTTACTATAATACTTTCTAGCATGTTTTACACACATTTCATAAGAAGAAATCGTTGGTGTACTACATTCACCACAAGGAATATGAAATCGTCTTTTCTAATGAATGTGACATCCTTCTTGCTGATAACATTTATTTCCACATATACGACCATCAATATAGGTGTATTGACAAGAATAAATGCCATGCCTTTCTATTATTTTACAAATTAAATATTTTCTGAGGTTATTAAAACGAGATGACATCTAATATTAT